CTGTGTCTGTCTGTGCCTGTCTGTGTCTGACTGTGTCTGTCTGTGTCTGTCTGTGTCTGTCTGTGCCTGTCTGTGTCTGTCTGTGTCTGTCTGTGTCTGTCTGTGTCTGCCTGTGTCTGCCTGTGTCTGTCTGTGCCTGTCTGTGTCTGTCTGTGTCTGTTTGTGTCTGTGTCTGTGTCTGTCTGTGTCTGTCTGTGTCTGTCTGTGTCTGTCTGTGTCTGTCTGTGTCTGTCTGTGTCTGTCTGTGACTGTCTGTGTCTGACTGTGTCTGTCTGTGTCTGTCTGTGTCTGTCTGTGCCTGTCTGTGTCTGTCTGTGTCCTGTCTGTGTCTGTCTGTGTCTGTCTGTGTCTGTCTGTGTCTGTCTGTGTCTGTCTGTGTCTGTCTGTGTCTGTCTGTGTCTGTCTGTGTCTGTCTGTGCCTGTCTGTGTCTGACTGTGTCTGTCTGTGTCTGTCTGTGTCTGTCTGTGCCTGTCTGTGTCTGTCTGTGCCTGTCTGTGTCTGTCTGTGCCTGTCTGTGTCTGACTGTGTCTGTCTGTGTCTGTCTGTGTCTGTCTGTGCCTGTCTGTGTCTGTCTGCGTCTGCCTGTGTCTGTCTGTGTCTGTCTGTGTGTGTCTGTGTCTGGCTGTGCCTGTCTGTGTCTGTCTGTGTCTGTCTGTGTCTGTCTGTGTATGTCTGTGTCTGTCTGTGTCTGTCTGTGTCTGTGTCTGTCTGTGTCTGTCTGTGTCTGGCTGTGTCTGTCTGTGTCTGTCTGTGTCTGCCTGTGTCTGTCTGTGTCTGTCTGTGTCTGTCTGTGTCTGTCTGTGTCTGTCTGTGCCTGTCTGTGTCTGACTGTGTCTGTCTGTGTCTGTCTGTGTCTGTCTGTGCCTGTCTGTGTCTGTCTGTGTCTGCCTGTGTCTGTCTGTGTCTGTCTGTGTCTGTCTGTGTCTGGCTGTGCCTGTCTGTGTCTGTCTGTGTCTGTCTGTGTCTGTCTGTGTCTGTCTGTGTCTGTCTGTGTCTGTCTGTCTGTGTCTGTCTGTGTCTGTCTGTGTCTGTCTGTGTCTGTCTGTCTGTGTCTGTCTGTGTCTGTCTGTCTGTCTGTGTCTGACTGTGTCTGTCTGTGTCTGTCTGTGCCTGTCTGTGTCTGACTGTGTCTGTCTGTGTCTGTCTGTGTCTGTCTGTGTCTGTGGTCTGTGTGCCTGTCTGTGTCTGTCTGTGTCTGTCTGTGTCTGTCTGTGTCTGTCTGTGTCTGTCTGTGTCTGTCTGTGTCTGTGTCTGTCTGTGTCTGTCTGTGTCTGTCTGTGTCTGTCTGTGTCCGGCTGTGTCTGTCTGTGTCTGTCTGTGTCTGTCTGTGTCTGTCTGTGTCTGTGGTGCCTCTGTGTCTCTGTCTGTGTCTGTCTGTGTGTCTGTGCCTGTCTGTCTGTCTGTGTCTGCCTGTGTCTGTCTGTGTCTGTCTGTGTCTGTCTGTGTCTGCTGTGCCTGTCTGTGTCTGTCTGTCTGTGTCTGTCTGTGTCTGTCTGTGTCTGTCTGTGTCTGTCTGTGTCTGTGTCTGTCTGTGTCTGTCTGTGTCTGGCTGTGTCTGTCTGTGTCCGGCTGTGTCTGTCTGTGTCTGTCTGTGTCTGTCTGTGTCTGGCTGTGTCTGGCTGTGTCTGTCTGTGCGTGTCTGTGCGTGTGGAGCCCCACGGCCCGGGAAGGGCCCTCGGGCCCAGCCCGAGGGCTGACCACAGGAGGCCCCGGGACCACTCTCCTCTCCAGACAGCCCTTCCTCCTCCTCCATCCTCCTCTCCTCCTCCTCCCCTCCTCCTCCTCCTCCTCTCCCTCCTCCTCCTCCGCCTCCCTCCCTCCCTCCCTCCCTCCCTCCTCCCTCCCTCCCTCCCTCCTCCCTCCCTCCCTCCCTCCCTCCCTCCTCTCCTCCTCCTCCTCCTCTCCCCTCCTCCTCCTCCTCCTCCTCCTCCTCCTCCCCCCCTCCTCCTCCTCCTCCTCCTCCTCCTCCTCCTCTCCTCCTCTCCTCCTCCTCCTCCTCCTCCTCCTCCTCCTCCTCCTCCTCCTCCTCCTCCTCCTTTCTCTCGCAGCCGTGGGGGGTGCACGGCAGGCGAGGCGGACTCGCGGGGCCTGCAGGGCACGAGCCATCCGGAGCCTCGAGGGAAGAGTGCCAGAGAGGCGAGGGCTAGGGGCGGCCGGGGGCGCGGCGTCTCTGGGGCGCCGCGGGCGGCATCTCGGGGTGCGCCGAGCAGTGCATGCAGTTTGCGCGACTGCACAGGTGGAAAATACCGCTGCGCCAGTGAGAGAGCAGTCCAACGGATTTGCAAGAGCGCATGCGTATGAGTAAGAAGAGGAGCACGCCCGAGGACAAGCGGAGCCTGAGGGGGGGTCTCCCACTCTCGCCTGGACGCGTGCGCGCGGGCTCCTCTCCTCCCCATCCATCCATGCAAAAATCAACCCGACCATCAGAGCACCCACATCAGCGTGGCTGCTAGGCGGGCACGAGCTCTGACAGCGCGATCGATATGATGATGTAGCCCAGCCACAGTATCACCAGCGCCGCGCTGTGCGTGTACTGGTCTCTCCTCGTTCCCCCTAGCTCGCCACCGCAGTACCGACGCCGGAACATGAGCAGCACAACGCAAATCAACGCGCAGATGGTGAAGATCCCCACGCTGTAGAACAGCTGTTGGGCAGGTATGATCAGGCCGCCAGACGGGTACAGGTCCGCGAAGAGCTGCGCGTAGGTGCTTGATCCGTGGCACCTGGCGAGCCACTCCTCAGTGACGCCCTGGGACTGCCAGTATAGAGTGGCAACCGTCCACGGGAGCCCCAAGCCGAGAAAGACGTTGACCGCATTGCTCCCCGTCACGTTCCCAATGGCATTGTCAGCGGTGTCGTCGTTTTGGGCCGCGAGCCTGGACGCGAACATGTCCGGGAGGCTGGTTCCCAGGGCAACCAAAGTGATGGCGGTCACCTCGTTGGCAATGCCCAGCACGCAACCCAGCAAATTCGCCAGATCGATGATAACAACAGTCGCCAAACCGATCAACAGAAGGGCGACGAAGAAGCAGCACCATCCCGTGCAGAACACCGTCGGGGGCAGCAACGCAACAAGAAACTTCCAGAACAGGGACACGCAGTGGAAGACCCACTCGAACAGCGAAGCGCCCTGCTGGTCGCTGGGGCTTCCATTACAGAAGAAGGCCGCAACAAACTGCTCGCGCCACAATGAAACTCCGAGCAAGAATCGCCTCCTGTTAAAGCTCAAGGCGACATATCTTCTGAGCCGACGGCACCTGCTTGGGCGACCGGCGATGGACACTTCGCAGATCGCACTGTCTGCGCCGCCGTTCGTCTCTGCGTCGAAAAGCACACCCTCGGTGGAAGCGGTCACGTGGACGCAGAACACCCGGTCCTCTGGGTGGGGCGCACATTTCAAAATAGCGATATCGACGCTTGCCTGCAGCACGCCCTCCGCCATCGTTATGGTCCCCTCGGCGTGCTCGTAGTCGAAGCCCTGAATGGCGCTCCCGTCTTTCGTCGTGTAGTTAATCGTTATGTCGCCGCAAGATCCCTGCGACCTGTTGATCACGACCGTCAGACTGCTGGCATCTCGCCCCACCCGCAACACCTCCGACATCAGAGACAAGGTCCCAGGCTCGTCGTCGTTGAGGATGACAACTTTCGCTCGGACAAGTCCGAGGTGGGGCTGGAGTGCGCGCATTGACAAGACAGACGGTAACCCGATCATCGTCGGGTTCGACGAGCTGCTCCTGACAGAAGAGGCAGAACGCTTCGAGCTCGGAGAGCTCGGGAGCTGCCCAGAATTCCTGATGACCTTGCCCGGGGGGCCATGGAGCAGATCGGGCGCAACCGCTCTCATGCCGTAGAGCTTCACGTAGAAGGCTTCGGGTGGCTCCCAAACGTCGTTGTCGATGATCGGTACAGAGATCACCTTCGCCATCTCGCCCGGTCCGAAAAAGAGCGTCCCTGTCACGGCGCTGTAGCGGACGCCATCCTTGGCCTCGCCGTCCGACGTGCAATAGGAAACCTCTACACAGAGGTCCGTCGGCTTACTCAAGACGACGGGCACGTCACAGTGCCCAGCGCACTCGAGTACGACGTGCCTCTTCTCTTTGAACCCGAGCGTGGGGGCATGGCTGTCGATCGTGTCCTTGCACAGCCGAGATATCAAAGACCTGTCTCCGGCAATGAGCCTGGTTATGCCCTGGCGGTAGCGGGCGCGGCTTGGGGACTGTGCCGTGTGACTGCTGCCATGCTCGATCATCATCTTGATCGTGCCCTCGCTGATAAACTTGCCATACTTGTCGGAAACGTCCCTCTGCAGCTGCTCGATCTGCTGCTCGGTGGCATCAGCGCTCTCAGCGACGCGCTTTCGGAAAAAGCCCCGGTCCGTGGCAAAGGCAAACATCAAGAGAGCTGGGAACATCCCCAACGTAACGAGCGCCTCTGCGACGTCGATCTTGTCGGGCGTGTAAAATCTCAAAACAATCACAAGCCAAATATATGCAAGAACTGAAACCACAGCAGTGACGACAAAAACGTCAAGGTGCTCTATCATCCGTGTCTCTGTGGCGGGGATGGAACAAATACAAACAGCCGAGATGAGCAACAAGTTAAACGCTGCACTCCCCACAATAGTGGAAGGACCTAGGTCGCCAGCGAACCACTGCCTTCCCCCCATCTCCATCGTGGAGACCATGATCTCTGGAGCGGAAGAGCCCAGCGCCATCAAGGAGAGATTCGCGAGGGTGTCATTCCACACCTTGACGTGGAACTTTTGACGGATGCCGCCCTTGCCCTCGACCCAAACGGTCCGCCTGGCAGAGGTGATCTCTTCGACCGAGGCCATGAACAAGTCGCAGACCATGTTCACGCCAAGAAAGCACCAGAAGAGCGCCATGAAATACAGGACGGCGCGGAGATTATTCGGCCACGTCTGTTCCCACTCTCCGAACAGTGGCAGAAACCACATCTGGTCCCCCGTCGCGCCGCAGGACTCGCACACGCTCCTCTGCTCACCACAGCCGTAGACGTCGCCGCAGACAGGCAAACGGTGCCCGGACTCTGCGCGGAAAAGCAACACCAGAACGACTGTGACGGTGACCACGGTGAGCACTCCTGCGGCTATGGCCTTTGCGATCTCCGCTGTCAGACTGTACGAAGGCTCGTCCTGCAGGTCCTGCAGGGGTGAGCTGACCAGCCCGAGTCGGCCATAGCCGTGTCGCGAACCCCAGCCGCCGCCCACGAAGAGTAGCCCTCAAGATCTGGGTCAGCGGAGGGAGGAGAGCGGGGGGGGGGGGGGCGCTCCAGATCTGTGGGGAGCCGCAAGGAGGGGACTGGCTCTGAAGGGGGAACAAGGACCTGGAATCCACGATACATCGCCAACAGCCCCCCAGTAGGCCCCCGATGGAGGAACCCCCGATCTGCGAGGAGTTGGCGATTGCGGTCGATGCGTCCCGCCCCCCCCTCCCTGAGCAAGCAGCCCTTTGTCGCGGTCCCTGAACCCTGACACCCGCCAATCTTACTTTTTGTCGTCTGAGATCTGGATCTGAAGAACCCAGATTGGCCAGAGGGGATCAGCGGCAATTAACTGACCCCAGTTCCCTGCACCCCGGGCGTCCTCTTCGGAACACTCCTCCGTGTGGCTCGCGGGCCCGGCCGTGGACGACCCGCTGACTTCGGCGTGGGGCACCTCCTCGGACGACGCCTCGCTCTTCCGGCAAGATCCCGCGCTCCTTCCAGAAAACACATTCCACCGCGCTAGGTCTTCAGCACCCCCCCCAAGAATGAGAAACTGATGACTGTCGGGGGCCCAACTGGCGGTTGCCGACACCAGCGAGCATCGGCAGATGATGAACACCGGCTGTCATCGGCAAATGGGAGCATGCGGGGTGAGATCGCAGTGGGTTTCGGTTTCGGGTCCGTGTCGTGCGTGCGGGCCGGGTCGGGCGGAGCTCATCACGTGGGCGGGCGAAAGGAATGACTCCGCTGTGGCCAGGGCGGGTCAAGAGCCGTTGACCGCCCCTCCTCCCTCCCCGGCGGGCGAGCTGTGGCCGGGTGCCATGGTGTCGCGGTGGGCGGGTGGTGGCCAGATTGTCCCGCCGTGGTGTCCCGTCGGTGTCCCCTCGGTGTCCCGTTGGTGTTCCCGTTCGTGTCCCGTCGGCGTCCCGTCGGTGTCGCCGTCAGTGTCCCGTTCGTGTCCCGTCGGCGTCCCGTCGGTGTCCCGTCGGTGTCCCGTTGATGTCCCGTCGGTGTCCCGTCGATGTCCCGCCGGTGCATCGTGGTGAAATTAATAATGAAATTCATAGTGGTGCCGATAGCGAGATCGATCGTGATATCGACAGCGATATCGATACCGATAATGAAATAGATAATGATGTCGAGTGTGAGGTCGATCGTGGGATCGATGGTGATATCGATGGTCAAATTGGGCCAAATCCCTAGTAGTAGTAGAAGTAGTAGTAGTAGTAGTAGTAGTAGCAGTAGTAGTAGTAGTAGTAGAAGAAGTAGTAGTAGTAGTAGTAGTAGTAGTAGTAGTAGTAGTAGTAGTAGTAGTAGTAGTAGTAGTAGTAGTAGTAGTAGTAGTAGTAGTAGTAATAGTAGTAGTAGTAGTAGTAGTAGTAGTAGAATGAGACTCTGGTTCCCCCCCACGAACCTCCTTATCACCCGAAGGGTGGTCGTATAGGTAGTTTTGTCCACCGCCGCCGCCGCCGTCCCCCTCGCTGCCGCCGTCGTCGTCGTCGTTGTCGTCGTACCACGACGTACGACTCCGATCCTTGTTTCTTATTGGTGTATACGCCGACGCTGCCCACCCAGCTGGACGACATCGACCCAGTCCAGGCTTTTCCGTCCAACCTGTCAAACCATACAGCATCGACGGTGTCCGTCTCAACTGGACGACGCAGTGTCCATATTGCAAAACGTGCGGCGGGAGCGGGACGGGGTGCACATTCCGCGCGAGAAGGCCGAAATGTCGTTCTCGCCGTGGCGACGCGCCTACAGTCGGGGCCTTGACCTAAGGAACCCGAAATAAGGAACGAGGCCCCTTTTTTCCATAAGTTAGGCTTCGATTTCCGATCGAAAACATCAGGAAAACCTGAGGCAAGCTGCGAAACACTTAAGGAATGCGGAGCCCCTCCCCAACGAAACGGGTTCCTTCTTCAGGGCCCCGACTGTACTGTTCCAGAACATGGAGCTCTCTCTCCGCCGGGGCGCGGCGCACACCCTTCGCACGCCGCTTCGTCGACGCGCGGGCGGGGCAAAACGCAGCTCTCGCCTCGGCGCCGCGCAGGCTTCGCGCGGAAGTGGTTTTCCCACCCGGCGCGGCGCACCCGCGCCACCTGCCAACTTCGGGGGCCCGCGCCGTTGGGCGCCTCGTCGCCCTCGCCCAGGATCCGTGCGCAGTGCGCTCGGGAGTTGGTGCCCTCGCGCGGGCGCGGCGCATTGGGTCGGCCGCCGAATCGCGCGCAAGCGACAGCGGCAGCGGGGCAGATCACGCAACGTATTGAAAAGCCGCCGACCCTTCGGCGTGTGCGAGACGCTGTCGTCGTCTTCGTCGTCTTCGTAGTCGTCGTCGCAAGTACCAACGAAATCTAGAAACGAGCAAAAAAAGGAAGCGTCGTAGTTAAGTCGATTCCCTTCCCTTTTCCCCTCCCTTACGGGGGGCGGGTACGGGAGGGGGTACAGGGGTGGGTAAGGGTGGGGGGGGCCCGGTCAGATTACCGCCGCCCCACGGGTCCTGGCGGTCCTCCCTGACCTCCCCGGTCCCCCTTGTGAACAGGGATGACACGGGGGGGGGTCCCCCCTGCGGAGGGTGGGGGGTGGGGGCGGTCCTGGAGGGCGGTCCCGAGGGAGGTCCCGCCCGTGGTGGGGGAGGGTGGTCCAGGGTGAGACCCCCCACCGGGGTCCAGGCGGGTCCCGGGGCGGAGCACCAGCGGGGGTCTCCGGGGAAGTCTCGCCTGCGGGGTTGGCGGCGCAGGCCGCAAGGCCTTCGCGGCATCGATGGGCACACCTGCCGTGGGCCTTCGGTTTCGAGAGGTGCCGCAGTACTCTGCTGGGGTCCCAGCGGCCCTCGGGGAAAGAAGACACTCCGTGGGGTCTTTCGACGGCCCCGTGCCCCAGGAACGGCCAGCAGGCCCCCAAAGATATGGAAACGACCGGCGCCCCGACCTGTTCTTCGAATCGCCGGCTGTTCGGGCTGGATGTTACTTGGGGGACGGTGCGAGCCGCCTCAGCGCTCCTGGCCGGGACCACCCTGGGCCCAGCAACGGTGTGTGCTCCCTCCGGTCTTGGCCAGGGAAGCACGTACCCCGATCTCCGGGGCCCGGGATCGGCCCGGCCAGGACTCGTGAGAGGTAAGCTGATGATGTCCCCCGCTCGGCATGCCGAGACATCCCCCGTCGCGGTGTTTTCACAGCGTAGCTCCCCAGTGGTGGGGAGTCTGGACACCTTCCCAGGAATCTTTCACAACGTAGCTCCCCATTGGTGTGGAGTCTGCACACCCTCCCAGGAATCGGTGTTCCATCCCGAGCCGTTTTTTGGACAGGCCCCTGGACCCGAACACTTCACCCTCATCGATGGACCCAGACCCCCGACGTAATGATTTTTTCATTACGTCGACCCCAGAGTTCTCGACCCCTTCCCCAGGACCGGTTTGTGATCCCGAGTCGTTTTTGGACGCTCCCGAGGCCCGGCGAGGGCCCCCAGAGGCCGAAAATGGCGAAAAACCTCCCGTCATGATTTTTTCATGACCCGAGGGGGTCTGGGGAGGGGACGCGTTAAGGGGGGGTGACTGGCTCAGGTGGGCAAGCATCGGCCTGGAACCTGCCATACATCGAGGATAGATCGGCGATGGGCACCCGACGGGGGAACCGCACGTTCCTGGGCGGCGTGGGCCATCGGGCCCCTATCGGCGATGAGTGGGCGGTTGCCGGTCGATGCATTTCCCCTTGCGCCTGCCACCCTTGACGCTGCCACTGATGATCAGTGGCAGCGTCAAGGGTCGATCAGATCGACCCTGGAGGAGGCCTGGGAGTGGTCGGGCTCCGGGCTGCGCATAGACAGCCCTCCCAGGCAGTCCTGGCTGGCCTCGACGGGGCTCCCGAGAGTAGTATCCCCGCTCGCCTCGACGGGACTCCCGAGATAGTCCCTGGCGGTCTCAGCACCCCAGCCGTGGGGCTCGGAGCGCCCCGGGTGTCGAGACCGCCCCAGGCTGCTCGGAGCCCAGACCCCCGACGTAATGATTTTTTCATTACGTCGACCCCCAGAGGTCCCGACCCTTTCCCCATGACCGGCTTTGCGTCCTGAGTCGTTTTTTGACGCTCCCGAGGCCCGGCGAGGGCCGCCGGAGGCCGAAAATTTGGAAAAACCTCCAGTCATGATTTTTTCATTACTCGAGGGGGTCTGGGAGGGGGCCTGTGGAGGCCCGCCGCACCTGCCCGGGAGGGCTGCCCCTGCGCAGCCCGACGCCTCGCCGGTGCCCCCCGCGGCCTCTTGCGCGGCGGCGGCACCGCGAAGGCGCCCCGCTCCGCGGGGGCGGCCCCCGGGGGCGGCAGGCCGCCCTCCTCCGGGGCCTCCAGCGCCATGGCCGCGCCGCCGCGGGGTCGCGCCGCGGCAGGCGGCCCCCCTGCTCTGGGCTCGAGCCCCGAGCGGCAAGGAGAGCGAGGCTGCGCGCGTGGCCCCCCCCCCGACGGGGGGGCATCGTCGGGCCCAGCGGCCACGGGCGCGGCATCTCCTTCTCCTCCTCCTCCTCCTCCTCCTCTCCTCCTCCTCCTCCTCCTCCTCCTCCTCCTCCTCCTCTCCTCCTCCTCCTCCCTCCTCCTCCTCCTCCTCTCCTCCTCCTCTCCTCCTCCTCCTCCTCCTCCTCTCCTCCTCCTCCTCCTCCTCCTCCTCCTCCTCCTCCTCCTCCTCCTCCTCCTCCTCCTCCTCCTCCTCCTCCTCCTCCTCCTCCCCTCCTCCTCCTCCTCCTCCGCCTCCGCCTCCGCCTCGCCTCCGCCTCCGCCTCGCCTCCGCCTCCGCCTCCGCCCCGCCCTCCTCCTCCTCCTCCTCCTCCTCCTCCTCCTCCTCCTCCTCCTCCTTTTCCAGTGGCTCTCGCTTGGCACCCACCAATCTGTGACCGAAGGGGCTGCAGAGGGGCCCCCAAACACCACCGACCACCACTACCCAGCGCCTGCAGGGCGGAGCCCGAAGGCCAGAACCGCCATGCAGGCGCAGGGCAGTGGCCCAGGTGCCTGGCTGCCCCCACCACCGCCCGCAGGCAGTGGCCAAAGAACGCCCGACAGGGCGAGCACAACAAGAAAATCTAACAACACCATCAAAATAGCTTGGTCCACCACTCCGCCTCCTCATGAGGCGCGAGGCTGAGTGGCCAAGGGCTTGTGATATTCTGTCCCCGCGGCCAGGGAAGGTCGCCTCTCAGAAGCTGTCTCCTCTGCTGTGCAAATACTTTACCACAGGGTTTCAGCAGCTGACGAGGGGCCCCAGTACAATAAGCCCCACACCTAAGGCACAACACCACTGGCAGAGAAGATTGAACAATTTTGGCGACATGCAGTGTGTGGGGCTTGGGGTTGTCGACCTGATTAATTAAAGACCGCATAGAGGAGGTTAAAGCCGCGCAGGACCCCCTAGGATTCTTAGAATCAAACGCACGGGCGCACTCGAGGCACCGCCACCTACACCCGTTCCAACGCACACGATGAGCCCTCAGGCCGCTGGAGAGGACCACGGGCCTGGGGACTCTCGGGGCGCGCTCTAGTTTGCCGAAAAGAGATCTTGCCTCTGGAAGGCTGTCTAAAATTGTGCCCATGCCTACTGCCAAGACTTCCCAACTACTCAGAGCCAGCTCGTACTTGACAATGTTCTGGGCCATCTCAGGGTGCATTTTGGCCCCGTCCTTAGCATACTCGTCGGCATAATCGTTTCCACGCTTGTGAACCCGAGCCATACCAATCACTTCATCCCCCACATGAGATTAAACCTTGTTCAACACGAAAGGCGGGCGGGGCGAGGAATAGAGCACTTTCCAGACTTCACTGAGCGGTGTTCTCCCGCTCGTCGATGCCCTCTGATCTCGAGGGCCTGCAAAAAGGGCCTGGCAATCCACGTTCAGCCTGAACGGCTCGTCCTCGCCAGTATGTTCAAAATGCTCCAGGGCCTGAAGCAAAGCGTAGTGCTCGGCGAACACAGCACTCTGCGGCAGGAAACCAGGCAGGTTACCACACACACAGCTCTAACAAAGTCCCCTGCGTCGTCTATTTGGATGACGGCCCAGCCCGCACGGGCCACATAAACATGGGTGGGGGAGTAGCAACTACCGTCCGAATGCAGATTTTCGCACCGGTTGAACGTGAACTTGGTTGTTTCCCCCGACCTGTCGAAATACCGAACCACACCATCCCACAAGGCATCCTGAATACTCTCGGGCTGGGCGTCCCACAGGCTGGAGTAGAGAGGATCGTCTGGGCCAGCTTCAACTGCTAGCCGAACAACATCGGCACTCAATGCCTCATCTCGCCTGTCAGCGAGTCCTGGACAGACAAAGCAGCGGTGCCAAACTGTGTCCTCGACTCCTCCCTCGGGGGATCTGCAAAAAGGGCACACTGGAGGGATCTCGTACTTCCAATCATGTAAACGCTTGGCCGTGACATACGACCTGCAGAATATCTCTTTGACAGCTTTTTGAACACCACGATGACGCTTTTTGCTGGCCCAAAGGGACCTCGCAGGGTCCATCCACAGACCACGATGCAAAATATCCAGAGCCCTCGGATGTTCGGAGTCCCTCAGATGCCTGCACATACTCTGGGCCACGTAGGCCTTAGACAAATCTCGTACGAAGTACTTCTCTACCTGCACGAACGGCGTATCTGTCAGCAGCAGCGGGTCCCCGTTGCTCATGTTAAAACTGAGCGGGCCTCGAATCTGCCAGTTCGCCATACCGAGCCAGAGAATCATGTCTCCTATGGGTCCCCAGGACTTCTTGGCCCATGAACTTCTGGAATGTTCCTGGATGTAGTTCTGGACAGCAGACAAAATCTTGGAAAGCTCCCCCACAGGCAACCCATCGCCATGGCGGTGCCCAGGGGTTGATGCCATCCAGACTTCTTTAGCGAAGCGGCGAAGAGTAGCTGCAGCATGCTTGACAGGATCTCTGGTCGGCTCCAGCGAAAGCGCCAAATTTAAATCGGCTCCACAGGAGGTCAATCCAAGAAAACCAGCAGCCTGACTTCGTAGCTTGCGAATCTCTCTCGGCGTCCATCCCACCACCTCCTCCCCATAAGTAGTGGCTGGCTTGACACCGCAGAACCATATTTTCGCCCTGGCACGTTTGGGATTTCGAAGGCTTCGAATTTTCCCCAACCTCCTCCTTCCTTTGGCCCACCTCTCATTACGCTTCTGCTTGGCTTTCCTGACGCTCAAATGCTTGCCTGGCGCGAAGTCGCATCCTAGGTTGACAATCGATGGGTCATAAGTGCCAGCATACTGATCTAAAGCTAGACGGGCCTGAGCTACCAGCTCTGGAGAGGTTCCAGTAATGGCGAACTTCTTCATAGAGAAACGAAGGTTAAATAAATTCGATAACCGATCAACCAAGAAAGCTACAGCAAAACCCATATTGATCACACAATGCTCCAAATCCTCGTTCCTCTCATTGAGACTAAAATCATCCACATGCACAGCCAGTTCGGGATGCAGACGACACTCACAATATTCCGCTACAGTAGGAAGGCAGTAACATTGTATCTCATATGTAGCCGTGCTGCTCCCCGCTACGATACCCTGAGCTGGCATAACTGCATCTGCGCACATGCCGTCTAGGCTCAGGATCCTCTGCCACGCGTACGTGTGAATAGAAAACCTGAGCACGTGCATCGGGAATCCCCAGTCCAGCGCCGAATTGATCAACTGCTGGTGCTGCACGTGCTCATAGCACTGCTTCAAGTCGGCAAGCAGGCTGAGCACGTGCTCTCGCCTGGAAAACGCAAGGTCACCTCGAACAGTCTGGCGCCAAACCGTATCTGTTGGGCTCCGTCCAGGAGCCATGCTGAAGATACCACCGTCCGAAATTCTTTTTTCCCAAGACTTGCACACAGAGGAGTTCCACCTTGACAATGTCCGAACCAGTGTTTGGAAGAAGCCTATTGGCCTCCGTCCCAGGACAGGTTCCCTGAAGAGCGCGACCACGAGGGTCTGCATCCAAGTAGGGGTGGATCCCAAGATAAGCATAATACCGAAAATACAGCTGAGGCACGAAAGGGCCTGAGAACAGAGAAACTGATAATGCCTCGGATGGCACCCATCTGCTGCAATCGTGTTCCTCTTGAAGCTCTTGGAGATGCGAATGATCTCCTCGGGGCTCGGGGGCTCTGGGATATTGCACGAAGGCCATTCCAGAGGGCCTCCAGCAGTTTTCTTGTAGGTCCCCCAGGCTTCTGACCAATTCTCCTTCTCCTGAGCGAGCTGGGCGGCAAGGCACGAGGTCGCATGGCCGTCGTCGGTCGGCAGCAGGTCTTGCTTTCGAGCATCCGCTGCCTTAGTGTAGGCGCGAGCCCACTTCGCTCCACCTGCCAGCGCCTCAGTGCACCAGTCCTTCCACTTGGCCGAACGATCGGCCCTCTCTCTAGACAAACGTACTATCGCAAAATGATCGGCCAGAGCTTTCAACGCGGCCAAGGCCTGGACAGGCAGGACCGACTCTATCTCCAAGGGGTTCCAGAGAGGAATCAGCACGGCCTCCAAGGCCCCACACCAAAACTCACGGCCTCCAGCAAAGTGATACTTGAAGATACCGCCTGCTTTTGAAACCTTATAACTCGAACGAACAAGATCATCATAATACTGCCTATGCGTGCGATACTTCTCTTGCTCCACAAAAGCCAACAACTCTGCACAGCGCTGCGACAACCACTTCAAAGCACGATAAGGGCTTCTCGACGGGGAGCGCTTGGTGCAGAGGAGCTCGGCCATGGGAACCTCTACCGTCTGATATGGGAGACCTCCGGCCCGACCTTCTGGAAAGCTCTGAAGCGTATTTCGAAGTTCTCCCCAAGACTGCTCACACCACCTCTCATACTGCACATCCAATCCTTGTTGGAGTATATCCCGCTCATCATCCCTAGGAAGCCTGAAACCCCCATCCTTCTCGAACGGCAAGATGAGGTCCTCAAGAGTCTCCAGGATGCTGTCATAACTCGGGGCCTGAGGGGCTGGGCCTATGGGAAGATCCACTGGGAGCTTCTGATACTTCAAGAGCCTCTGGATCTTGATGGTGTCCACCCCCTGCTTAAACCTCAGAGTGACCGGTCGGTGCGGGAATAAATATGACTGCAAGTCGGCCTTCGCCGACTCAACTCCAGCAAGCAAGTTCTTGCTGATCAAAAAGTAGTCGTAACATCTACCTGGCGTGCTGGACAAGCACGTCTGACTGGGATTCGGAATGACAAGCTGCCCGTTCAACCTATGCGGCGAAAACCCTTCTCTGAACAGGTGAGGCTCTATGTTGTGATCCCCACCAGAGATACAAGGTAAGTTGCGCCTGGTGATATCGTTTCCCAAGGCAACCGCAAGACGTTGATTCTGTTCC